AGCCCTGTCACCGGGGAAACGCACACCTCAGTACTAGGCAGTTCTGAAGATGTCATCGTCCAAAGCACCACCACCCTCACCATGCTTGCAGTACTCTTTCCTCCCAGTTGCGCCCACGAAGCCCTGTCACGGGGGAAATGCTCCATGACATCTCATTACTAGGCAGTTCTGAACCCCATATCATACCCTAGCAGCGCAGCCCTCCACAGCCCACACCCTACCACCCTTACCCCCATCACCCTCGCCATCACCACGCCCCACTCGTTCCCACCACTTTGCGAAAACGCTGCCCAAACAGACCAAACTGCCGCCATCAACCCCGCCTTCTTCCCTCGCGCCGCTCGTTGCTGCTCCCCTTCGCCACTCGTCGCCGCACCTTGCCATCCCGTGCTGCGTACCACCACCCGCTACACGTGCCGGCAGAATCGTACCGGCGGGGCACAGCGCTCCCGGCCTCGCCCTCCAAGAATCTCAACCACGAAATCTATTCCACCTCCAATTAACCCCCAACAAGACACCGTTATACGGCGATTGACGCGGGGATGCGGCCATTCGGGTAGCATGATTTATGTTCTAGACAGTAAGCTTGGCAAAGGTCTTATGAAGTAGGGGATGGGCAGCCTTCTGGATGGTTGTCTAAAGCCAACACTGTCACACACACCACACGCAACCCGGTAACGCGCCCACTCACACCCGTGTTGGCTGAAGACCTTACTGGGATAGCATGATTTATGTTATAGACAGTAAGTTTGGCAAAGGTCTTATGAAGTAGGGGATGGGCTGCCTTCTAGATGGTTGTCTAAAGCCAACACTGTCACACACACCACACGCAACCCGATCGCGCGCCCACTTACACCCGTGCTGGCTGAAGACCTTACTGATACCAACTGGGAGTATCCAGCTGATTATCCAGTTGGTTGGCACCAAGAGGGCCATAGGCGGTAATGGGGATTGAACCCACAACCTCCTGAACGCCACTTGCGTGCCTAGCCAACTGAGCTAGGCTGTTGGATGGAGCCCAATTTTATTATTATTATTTTTTATTATTATTTTTTTTTTATTATTATTATTATTTTTTTTAAATCGTCTGGTTTATTCAAATGCAATTTTAGAGGCCGGGGTCTTCACAATTCTACCCGGAGCGGAACTGAGAAGCGGTTAATGAAAGGCCCAAAATTTGGCGAATTTTGGCGGATTTTTCATCGAAACTGCCATATGAATTTTTACTTTTTTCTCGGTTTTGCTTTTTGCCTGTTATATATGTGCTTTAGGGTATATCTGTATTCAGTTTCACCGTATTTGGAGCAGTAACAAAAACTCAGCAAAAACAGCAGACTCAAAAAAGGCTTTGGCGAACTCCGAAAGCTACTTGGAAAAGGGTTTTATAGTACTCTTGATTTTTATTTTTTCGTTTTTTTTTTTTGCCTTAGTAGCAACGCGGCGAAAAACCCCGAATTTTTTGCCTTCCATTAATCGCTAGTGCCAGTCCAACATGGCTTTGGACAGAAAAAAAGCATAGTGCAGGAACCAGTCCAACCTGGCCTGTGAAACAACGATCTATTGTCTAAACTGCTCGCTCGTACCAGTCGGGTCTTGGCCCTATTGTGGACCTGGGACCTAATTGCCACCCGGACAAGGCAAA